CACCCTCACCTGCTGCAGCAACACCTGGCTGTCAACCACACCTGGCTCCTTCCGGCTGTTGGGCTTGACACAGCGCACAAAGTGCGGGGTGGCAGAGTACATGCGCTCCATGAGGACAGACAGCGAGTGCTGCAGGGGCAGAGACAGGTCAGCATCACCCCAGGCTGAGGAATGACTACCAACACCTCCCAGATGCCTGGGTCCTCTCAGTGCCACCTCCCTCCTGCAGCGCCCGCTGGCTGCAGCAGTGCCACCTCCCTCCCCACAGTGGTGACCAGGACACCACACAACAGCCTGGGCTTGGAGCTTGGGCATTCTCTGCCAGGAGCTTTGGCTTGGACTGGGGCTCCTGGAGGCCTTTCCAAGGTTTCCCTGCCTCTTATGGGTCCCGTACTGTGAAGCAGGTGCATCATACCCGGAACTGGGCTCCCACTGACTGCTTCCTTGTGTTGTTGAAGTTGTCGCCTGCTCCCAGGGGCACCTGGAACCAAACACAGATGTTCCCATGTTACCTCTAAGCCCTGCATCATCCACAGGGCATGTCTGGGGGCTTCCAGGGAAGAAAGCAACAGGTGGATGTCACAGGACACGAAGCATGCATGCAACTGTCAGGGGAGGCCGGGGAGGGGAGCAATGTCACATAGAGAGGAGCAGAGATTCAGGGATAGTACCCCCAGGATCTCCTGCTCAGCCCAGCAAAGAAACAACATGGGCTGCCCCTAACCATCCCAGACTGGTGCCCACAGCTCTGCTCCAGGAGGGAGATTCCCCAGTTCCTGGGACAGTCACTTCCACTGGGGAGGTGGTCCAACACAGAGCCACTCCCCCCACCCCACGTCCCTCAGATCACAGACACAGGGGAACAGGACCCAGGAGGCTTGAGTATCAACTGCCCCATGGCCTTGCAGCTCTTACCTTGGCTTTAATGTGAGGCATCAGAGTCCCTGTCCGGGAGATGGTGGCTGAAGGAAGGAAGAGGAACCATCGAGTCCTACAGCCACCTGGTCCCTCAACCTAGGCAAACCAGGCAGCAGCAAGACACAAAACCTCCTCCCCAGGGAAACCACATGCCCCTCTCCCAGACAGACTCCCAGCCCTGGGGCCCCTCCGTGCAGCCCACACAGGGGTCAGGGTCCTGCCTTATTAGCAGTCTGTCAGGAAACACTCATAGATTTAATGCCAGAGCTCCCAGACAATCAGGAACTTCCCAGGGTGACACTGCTGCTGCTACAACCCCCAGCGCCCGCCCTGGTGACATGGGGACCAGAGAGTGCACCAAGGGCTGGTGGACCAGGCAGAGCAGTGAGGGGGCAACACTCAACACCATCCTGGCACCAGCACCATGGCTGGACCTGAGCAGAGCACAGCTCCTACCACTGGCTTGCTTCACAGAGCCCAGGGCCACTGACCCCCCCCGCCTCCCCTCAGGAGAGCCCGGGAGCTCAGGGATCCCTGACGACCCTGCACCCCAGGCACCTGCTGCCACAGGGGAACGCACCCGTGAACAGCACGCTCAGCAGTGGCGTGACGCTATTGATGAAGAGGCCACGGATGTTGGCTGGCAAGGTGTCCCGGTTCTTCTCCAGGAAGCCGCTGGCAGAATACTGCACCTGCAGAAGCAGCACCACCTGAGCAACCGTGCAGTGAGGTGGCAACAGGCACAACGTGGGGCCACAAGCCACATGGGCAGCATCCCAGGCCTTGGGTGTGGCCTCCACTTTGCATACACACATGCGAGGATTGTAACTGCCCCATCCCCCCACAGTGCAAACACAACAACAGAGCTTCAGGGCATCACAGGCTGGGGGACGGCATGGGGGAGGGTGAGTCATGCAATGTGCTTGTGGCCACACATCTTGTGGGACTCTAGTGAGGTCCCAGTCGCTTCTTTCCCTTCCTTTGAACGCTTGCCCACATGCACACCTTCCCCACAGGCAGCTGCAAGCAGTGCCCATACACGCAGAGACAGTCTAAGACAAAGAGTGACTACAGGTGCCAAGTGCAGCATTGGCCTTGGAGGCTTGCACCATGGCATAGCCACCCAGTTGCACCCTGGGGAGGGCAGAAGAGTAGTCAATGCACCACCTTGGACTTGCCTGCAAAGGTGCCGATTTTCCTTAGGCTGGAGTGGGGCTCCCTCCCCCCTTCCCTTGCAACAGCCAGGAGGCAGCCACTGTAGGACCCCACCCCACTTCCCCTCAAGGAACAAGTGAACCTCCTCAGCCTCTGCAGGGCTGGAAGGAAACCTTGTGTTCCCACAAGTCTTCAGGAGAAGAGGCCCTGAAGAGGAACAGGGAGGGGATGCAGGGGCAGAAACCTGGCCCTGACCGCCTAGGGGCCATGGCAACACTGAGGGGTGCCATCTCAGAGCAAGTGGCCTTCATAAGCCAAATCCAACCTCTTCCTGGCTGGATCTGGCCTGGGGCTGTATATTGCCAGCCCCTGGCCTACATGATGGAGCGTGGCATCCTACATTGTGAACAGCAGTTACCTTGCCTGCATAGTGGAGGATGCTGAAGCTCAGCACCTGGCCCCGCACCAGCTGGAAGTGCACGTTCCCTTTGAAACTGCTGTTCAGTTTGTCCACAAAGGTTTTATCAGTCGCCTACAACAGAGGAGATTTCACAGAATGGCCCCAGCCCCAGCCCCAGCCCCAGCCCCTGCCCCCGTGCACTGGAAGAG